TTAATGTGGCATTAAAACTACCATTTGAAAACTGTGTGAGTTACACCTACCATAACGTATATAGATAAGATCTTGGCCTATGTTGAGTCAGTCAAAATATTTAACGTGATGTGGTATTCATATTAAAATATAAGACATTCAATGTAGTCTCCGAGTGGACGGGATCCGTCCGGACACTCACGGACATGTACGAACACGTCGATGGAGTCTCCGCGAGGAACATGACACATAGTATCGATAATAATCTGATTATATATGTATACTAGCTTTAGCCCGCGACTCCGTCCGCGTGAACTTCAGGTTCTCTCTCCAACTACGGCCACTGAATTCAAATTTCGGGATAAAATGTAGCCTTTGTCTTTTACACGGTTTCATCTATCTATATACGTAAATTCATCAAAAATCGGTTCAGCGGTCCAGGCGTGATAACGAAACAGACTAATACTATTCTAAGACCTTCGATAAAATTTAGTTGATTGATTTGAATTACAATTTTGTTCACAATGAAATACTAAAGATTAATATTAGGCCAGTGCAGAAGCCTTTAAAATTAATGAAAAGTGAAAATAAATATAGTAGAATAAAAGTCATTAGAAAAGGACGGGAATATTATAAAAATTAAAGGAAAAATAATTTGAGGTCGGGAAGGGTATGGATATTGGTATTTAAGGGTAAAAAATAGGTTTTCTCGATTCCCAGCAAAACTAAAAGTCCTACGGAAAAATGTTATATAGCAAAGTTGTAGGTAATAAAAAGATCTGAAACTTTTGTACTAACATTTTTTTCACGTAACCTAAATATTTATGTGAAAAATGCGAAAAACCAAGTTTTAGGTTTTTTATTTTTATCTCTTACAAAAAACAATTTTTTGTCACGAAATTTGGTGAAAACTTTCCTTGTGATGTTACAAATGCAATGTAATTTATTTTATTAGAAATACTTATTTTTTCAGCTTATTTTGAATAAATACCTAAAAATCAGCCTCATTTTCAATCGAAAAATCACCAATCAAAATATCAGAGTTTTTCAAAAACTTGGTATGTTTTCTGTTCGTTGAAATCTCTATTTTCCGATGGCGAAGAAAAAAATATGAGTTTCTTACTTACAGTACCATTTTTGGATATAATAATCATGTCTCTTTTAATGAAATGACACTCGACATCGGTTTGAAAATGCTCTTTCTAATTTATTTTTAATAGTTGTGTCCTCTGAAAGTTCTCCAGATAGTCCCTCTTTTAGGTAATTTACAGAATATTTACATTAAGCTGCTAAAACTAATAAAAATAAATTGAAAGAGCATTTTCCAAACGAAATCGAGTGTCATTTCATAAAAAGAGGCATGATTATTTTATCCAAAAATGGTACTGTAAGTAAGAAACATATTTTTTTTCTTCACCATCGGAAAATAGAGATTTCAACGAACAGAAAACATACCAAGTTTTTGAAAAACGCTGATATTTTGATTGGTGATTTTTCGATTGAAAATGAGGCTGATTTTTAGGTATTTATTCAAAATAAGCTGAAAAAATAAACATTCTAATTAAATAAATTACATTGCATTTGTAACATCAAAAGGAAAGTTTTCACAAAATTTCGTGACAAAAAATTGTTTTTTGTTAGAGATAAAAATAAAAAACCAAAAACTTGGTTTTTCAAATTTATCACATAATTTTTGAGGTTACGTGAAAAAAATATTAGTACAAAAGTTTTAGATCTTTTTATTACCTACAGCTTTGCTATATAACATTTTTCCGTAGGACTTTAGTTTTGCCGGAAATCGAGAAAACCTATTTTTTACCCTTAAATACCCACCCCCATACCCTTCCCGACATCAAATCGCTCGTAAATTATTTTTCCTTCAATTTTTATTATATTCCCCTCCTTTTTTAATGAGTTTCATTCCACTATAATTTAATAATGTTTTAAAAGCTATCGTTGAAAAAACTTTTTGGAACATCATTTTTAGATCTTAATGGAATCAACAAACCCGAATAACATTATTTGTTTGTATTGTCAATTGTTCTTAGGGGCGCACGCAAAAATAGATTTTCATAACACCTTGGGTTACAAAGTAGCAATTTCCCGACGGATCTCTAGTTTTTTGAAAATAAAATATAGCTCATCATTCTCCATAAATTGACTATTAAATATTGAAAGAAGTTTTTAATCAGACCAGAGGTTCCCGAGAGTAGTGGGTTCAAACAAACAAACTGCAGCTTTATAATATTAGTATACCTAGATACACATATTGGAAAAAGGTGACGTTCTTCACCTATTGAATTTTATTTTTTAAATCAATTCTCTTAAATCGTTCTAGTACAACGTTTCAACTAGTACAGAGGGGCAGGAGTAATGAGGTTCTATATTCTATATAGACGTTCAAATATCCCAGACACCACGATATCTGTTCGCTGCGCCCGCGCACCGGGCCTGTAGACCCGCTGACTGCGGGAGACATCGCTCACATACGATCAATACACCACACATGCAGTATGAGCTGGCACGAGAGGCCGGGGAGGGGGAGGAGGGAGGGGGGAGCTCACACCGCCCGACCTAGACCTTGACTTTACTTTGACTTTGGTGATAAACTAATCGCGAGGAGATTATTCCGTGACGGCGGCCGGCAGACCGACTGGCGATTTCAGTTCTATAATCTGAGCTCGTTACAAACAACTGTTATGTGTTCTCATAATACATCCACTGACGAACAGAGTAGACTGCCTACACTCAGTAGGCTGTAGAGAAATGTATCACTGACAATAGTTCAAGATCTAGTTTCATACAAATATCGCACCTAAATGACGGGCCTACCGTCAAGGAGACCGGTTACTATATTAACCAGCCCCAGACAATTCTCTAACCCTCGACGAAAAGCATCATAACGAGATTGTATTATTAGGCAATATCAGAAATCCCGTTCTTCTTGACACACGGAACTATGAACGACTGAGGAATGAGGATCCTCAATGTCCTATCAAACGATACCATACATCACACGTAGAGTGACGAGAGCTCCACGTTAAATATTATTATAAACCTGTTGTTGTTTACTGTACTACGATATCGAATATTAAATTTTAAACAATCTTTTTATTTTCTTGTACTCTGAGATTAATATGTGTATTGTTTACAGACAGCTCGTATGTGATAATGTCATAAAATTGTACCAACAGAGACACACACATACATAAATACATACACACATACACACACACACACACACACACACACACACACACACACACACACACACACACACACACACACACACACACACACACATACACACACACACACACACCTCTACAATACACGACTCGTCACTTAGAAATACTTATGTCCAAACAACACCAGTACAACACAATAAGTAGCTGACATATATGTATGTATACATAGAGTATGAATGAATGAGGAGACCATGCCTTGAATGACCATCGATCACATCTGAACAGACAGAAGACAGGTGAGGAAGTAGTTATATACACGCGTACAGACTACGTGCAGTGAAGAACGATTTGTTAGTAACGATATACGAAGTTTAATAAAAAAAATATTTAACTGTCATTATCTCGCAATTAAAAAAACTTATTAAGAGTCAAATACACACACATACTGTACATACGCATATTATTATATGTATGTGTAATATACTATAATGACGTATAGAACATAATGTGGTATCCTGTTTTAAACACCGTATTCACCCCACACAAGCACCAGCTATAACTTTATATATCCACTAATAACTTTGATAGACCTACGTATTGCTAGCAGAACAAAACCCGTAATTAAATAAATACAACAAAAAGCTTGTCTAGTACGTAAGGAGTGTCATGAAAATCAGTTGTCACCAATAATACTAAACATTGTTCAACTTCATCAGCTATAGATGATTGTGTGTCCATCTGTGACGACGATCCAAAAACTATAGCAAATGTATATGTAGAAACTAACACATGTATTAAAAAAAATCTATACAAGGTCTGCCTGGACACCGCTCATAGAACTATATGACCTTGAAAAGCTGGTCAGCTAGACAATCTCATCTGGATATAGTTCGTAGTACAGGAGATAAAGAAATAATATTTAAAACCAACCATTTTCTCTTTATTTTATATATATTTTAAGTAAAGTAATGATTCACATGATCATGATGTATAACAGTCAACTAGCAGATACTTGATAACATTCAATAAAAACGAGAGACGAAATAATCACAAGTCGAAATATAGTGAACTGTGTCGGACGTGCAGAATATAACAAACTCAGAAAACCGAAGACCGTAGGATAATGGAAGTAACGAAAAATAAGTCTGAGAAACAAGCTCGGGACACTCACTGTTGTAGACACACACACAGCTTACAGAAATATTTGATATTCAAGACGCGAGCGTTCATAACAAATACATATATTATTATTATTACGATAATACACAGTTGACTAGAATTCTTGTACGCTCGAGCGCTGGACGGACTAATATATTGTATAAGTTCAAGGTCGCACACCAAGGTCACGCCGAGCGAACGATAAAAAATATAAAATAATATTATTAACAACACACGAAAACACAGTGACGTAGAACATCAGCTCGCATAGAAGAAGTACACGGGGCTGCTCCGGCTGGCTAACGTTTAGCTCGCCCACTGGACCGGTATGCTAATAAGAATCCAATAATAGTAAAGCCGATAACAATTGTAAACTACGTAACCCAGTTTGTATTATATTCAGCAACATTTGATTTATTTACTTACAGCTAACGGAGGCCAGCCCGCGGCTCACTCACACACATGTACTCGAATACTGATGTTCTACGGGGAGTGATATGACTGGTGTGGAACCTTTCACGAGCGGACACGATTTCGAATGATTTCTATGATATACGTTAGCCGATATCGAGCTACAGACTAAAGTGTAAACGACTAATCTGTCCGGGCGCAGTGTAGGACCACGACCGGTCCTCGCTAGCCGCTAGGGTTGTTGGTAGGTGTTGCACCACTCACCGGTGTCGGCGCGCTCCGCCTCGTCGTCCGACTCGGTGCCGGAGTCCCGCTCCTCCACCTGCAAATGAAAGCATTCCCTCAGCACTCTGAGTCCACCGTCGCTGACACCGCCACAGAAAAGCCGCTCCACTGACTGTGACTCTCATTACTATATATCGGATCGTTAACCGACGACTAGTCTGTATTAGAGCAACGGAGAGCGACTCGGCCGATGTGGAAGCCGGCGGTCGTTTCTCTCCTTTGTTCTCGCGAGCGAGGCGGCCATTTTCTGGTGGCGGTGTGACCTTCACGGCGCAAAGCCGACTGGGCCGCGCCGACACCCACCTTCTCGGTAACGTTCTCCTCATTCAACGAATGCGTTCGGAGCTTGTGAGTCAGGAATTTGAGCATTATTGAGCCTCGGCTCGACCTGATCGTCCCCCACTGCACACACACTCACGGCGCGGCCTCTCGCGGCCGCTCACTATCCCGCAATACTTATCGATACGATCTAATACAATCTAGACGCCGTCACGCCTATGGCAAACGTTCCAAAACCATTTTACACCTAAATAACATATCCGCATATCACTCCGCGTCTGAACGGCCGACCACCTCCCTCGAACGCCCGGCTACTACTAGTTAGTTGGAGTAGCCTTGCGTACGACGCAGTCAGCTGAAGTGGCTACGGCTCATTAATACCAAAAGGGCTTAACATCGAACGCCTCTAATACTCTTTTTTTTCGATACATTTCCCGGTTTATGTTCGTAAATCGATTAAAGAAGTTTTTTAAAACACCTCGTGCATTAAAAACTAACTCAAATATTGTGTAAATCGTTTTCAAGTGGCACTCGAAATGGTCTCGCCCGGCAACCCATTGATGACAAAGAACCGGAACACGCGGAGATCGGACGCGATTGGACAAAACATTACAGAATAGGATCGAAATTTAATGCTGTACCGTGCATCTCGCTCTCTCCACTGGAGCGACTCCCGACCGACCGAACACGGGCGGTGGTGCGAGCGGGACGGAGATAGTGTGCCAGTTCACATTATATAACATTCTTGATAATATATCGCTGATAAGTTGCAAATGACAGACTGTTATGGATATACCAGGGTAATGAGTACGAGCATCTAGAGTTGATGCTTATAGAAATGTAATGTAAAATATAAATAATCATTCATTAACTAAAGAAAATATAGGATTTTAACAAGATGTTCTTACTAAAATTTAATTTTTATAGTTTCGGCATGAGTACTGAGACCATACTTTTCTATATAATATATAAAACAAAGTGTAAGTCCACTCAGCTCGTATTATCAACTAACTATATGATTGTTCATCTGTGGTCCTTCCTTCCTAACAGCGGCCATACTGTATCACGTTCGTAGTTCGTACCTGCGAATTACGACGTCTCGTTCTCGCGCGGCCGCCATTGCGCGCCAATTTTAAATTTCAATTTGTTGTAGGAGACAGGTAAATAAGCGAACACAACAGTTTCACGTGTATATTTAATTAACAAAAGTATAACAGCAACACAGTGTGTGATGTATTCGTAAAGGACACTTAAAATATATTGTGATTGTCATTGCAACATACGACGGCGATCATCCGACCGACATCGACCTAAACTCACAGAAGTATTCACAACATTTGACGATGAATGGTTTAGCCAGTGTCAATTCACGAGAACAAAATGTAAATTATAACCAACAGTGACACTTTAAATAGGTAAAAATAGTAGGTATTCACTTTATTTTTTATTAATTAATTCGAATTGTATGTATATATGTAGATAACTAACAATTGTATAGTGATGAACCCAAGGCCCACCAGCGCAGATGATAATAATCATCTCTATGTGACTACTTGGACGAAAAGAAACTTTACACTTGTATATAATGAATTGTAAGTCCCTGTATATATTGTCGACGTCGCTATAATACAAAAATATTGTGACGTCACTTCTCTATAACGTTATGAACAGTTCAAATGACAACAAACTGAGATGATTTTTATTAACACGGACAATGTGATGAGGAGTTAGTTTATATACACATGTGAGGGTGAGGACGACGCTTTGGCTTATTAAGTATTTTAATATAAAAAGTATACAAAAATAATGTATTTAAGAGGTATCGGTGACACGTTCCTTGTATCAAATGTAGTCTCGCAGGGTCGATTAGCACCAGCTATAATAACGTGTACAGTATAAAAATATCAATTTCTTAATAACAACAACAATATAAATTTACAAAAACATCTTCGAGTCGAGTTCACCATAATAATTAATTTCAATCACTACTCAGGTACAGACGACGGCTTACATTAGTTAAGACATGTAACAAAACAACACGCATCTTGATAGGTGCTATAAACAGGTTCAGTATTGGAGTTAGGGTTTATAAAGTATTGTTAGTACGGTGACCACACTTCAAATATATTCTCAATGGAGTAACATTTATTCTGAGGATGGACCGGGACTCGAACACCACTCATATGACACACGGCCCAGTCAACATGAGAGAGTTCAGGGTGCAATCCGTGTTCAGTAACATGTATGTGTGCGGGTCACTTGAAGATGAGTTCGTCTGTGAGGTAGTCGGGGTTGTCCTTCACGTAGTCCGTGAACTGCTGCAGGGCGGCCGTGAACCGCTGGAGCTGGGCGTCGTGTGGGGAGGGGGAGGGAGCCAGGTCTCTCAGCAGTAGGAGCGCGGCCTCGGGCAGCTGGTAGCGGCGGAGAGGAGTCACGGCCGGCGCCATGTCCGCCTCTAAACCGCTGATGCTGAAATAAAACGGTCGGTATAATATTGACCCAGCGTCCCGTCACACACAATACAGATCTGTTCTTGTTCACTAGTGTGTGTGACGGTGGCCGCTCGAACTACACTTGCTCTTATAATGAGATCTAAGATTTTCGCGAGTACTCATTTAAATTAAACTAATATTTTCGAATTTTACTTCGCGTTTTATTATTGATTATAAACTACACACTCTCGACGTTTAGCAACCGTGATCACGGTTGCTGAAAAGTTACCGAAACAAAAATAAAACGCGAAGTAAAATACGAAAATATTAGTTTCATTTATACAGTTGTTCTGAACAGTCAAGGGATCTCATCATGACTCGAGTACAGTAGTCAGCCCTACTCCGTCCTTAATGATATAAATGTTAAACATTATGTATGGATTCTTATTGCTCTATCACGCATAAAATACGAAATGGATTTTTATGAAACTTTACAGTTAGTTATTTATAAATTAAGGTGGCACTTCACTTGGCGTTGCGTATTCGAAGCATTTGTCCAAATCCACATCCACACTTGGCATGCCAACAACACGTCTATAATAGTATTAAACAGTGGCGGCTGTACCTTAAGTGCACTCGTGCGCTGAACCACCAAATCAAAAGATTTAAAAATTACAAAATATTACTTCACCTTTATTTTTAAAATACCATTTTAATATTTATTTTCTAAACATACAAAAACATATAAAAAATTAAATTTCTAATTATAGTCATAAAGTTTGAGCGCTTTACTAAACTAACATCTCGTGCGCTTCGGCGAGTGCACGAGGACGGCTAATACATCTTGTATGAGATACGCATTAATACGCCTGGCGCGTGAAACAAAAGATAGTTCATAGAAATGTACCGGGTAATGAGTCGGTTCTCGAGCGCCGCACGAGCGACCGATGTATGACGAATTGGAATTGAAAAGAATCAAAAGTTTTCTCCGAAATACCATGCACTTGCTAAATGCACTTTCTATGCTTAGTATTGAAAAAAATAATTATACAAACAATACCCGATTTTAATAAAAAGGTGATTGAACATTTCGCTTCAGAAAAATGTCGTCGCATTGATTTAATGTATAAAAAATAAACAAATTTTATGTCAATTGGTTTTTTGTTGCATTTTCTAATTTTAAAATTTTAGTAAAGTGCACCACCAGTTCGATAACCCACCAGCCGCCACTGGTATTGAATGCATAAAAATGTTATATTTTACTTATGTACGATGTATTTTAGAATACGGTAATAGTATATGGTCTCCCAATTATATAACTTACAAAGAAAAACTGGATAGAATACAAAAAAAGTTCATAAAATTTCTTTGCTTTAAGGACTTTAAAGAATTTAACGATTATTTTGATATAATATATAAACAATATAATATTGAAACATTGAAAACGAGACGACGACATTATGATATGTATATGCTACATGCAATAATTACCGGAGATATAGATTGCATCGATTTATTGAGCGCTTTGTATTTAAGAGTTCCTAATCGCCGCACACGTCATACAGCACTATTCCACGCGCCTGAGCTAAACACTAACTATGCACACAACTCTCCTTAATCGCATGGTTCACACATATAATTCAAAATACTCAGAAATTGATCTCTTCAGCATGTCAAAAGTAGCTTTTAAAAAAGCTATAATTAAAAAAGATATAAATTCATAATAACACACATACACGCACACACACACCCACACACACACACACACACACACACACACAATCATACAAACACGCACCCATATTGGATTAACACCCGTAAACAGTTTTATATAAAGGACATTACTTTTATACTATAAGTTTTACTTTTATGCTACCGTCTTCTAATGAGATCTAAGATTTTCGCGAGTACTCATTTAAATGAAACTAATATTTTATAGTGAGTGTCTGCCCGTCACATCTCGTCTGCCCGTGATTACGGTTGCTGAAAAGTAGCCGAAACGTCGGGAGTATGTAGTTTTCTAATCAAAAATAAAACGCGAAGTAAAATCCGAAAAATATTAGTTTCATTTACCGTCTTCTAGTTATTAATACATATGTATGTTTAAGTTACCTGTGTAATCTTATTTTGGTTTTAATTTTGTTATATAATAGTTAATATAGAAACTTATGTATAAAAACTGTTGGATTACCAAATAAATAAATAAATACGCGTTTTCGCTTATTTGTGTATGAGTCTTATTTGTGCAAATATGTCAAATGAAGACGAATAAATCCTCCACACATGGTCTTATTTAGCCAAATACAACAAATAAAAGCCCAGTGGAGTGCCACCTTTAGAATAGGACATGGGTTATAACTTATAATATATACAGAGATTCCACGAGTTTCCTTCAGAGTTAAGGACTATACATGTCGCTAGCAGTCGGGCTCCATATGTAGTATTTAAACACACGACATATATCTATTTTTAAATCTGAACGGATGATGTCGAAGATAAAAAAAAAGTTTAATCTGTAGCCTGTGATGTAATCGACTATATGTAGCTTTGAGTTTTGTGTCGAAGTCATCATGTTGGTACCTGGCGACGTAGTGCCTGGTGTAGGGCGCGGCGGGGGGAGCCGTCACCAGCAGGCGGAGAGCCAGCGGCAGGAGGGAGTCACCGGGGTGAGGGCGGCGGGAACACGCGCGGGTCGGCAGCAGAGGGGCGCCCGCTGGAACATGAACACACGATATACAGGGTGACTGGTGAATTACTATCGATACTTGAGGACGTGATATTTGATGATCATATATGACAAAATAAAAATTAATATAACATAAATATTAATAAACTTCTAAATAAAGTTAGCCAAAAGTTATGTAATTAATTACGCATCGTGTGAACACCCTACAGATTAGGTATACACACACACACACACACGCGTGCGGCGGCGTGGTTTTGTATCAGCACGCCGCCGCACGCGTCCACACTTGGAACACTTGGAACGTGTCCACACTTTATTTATTTATACGGAAATTTGGTCAAAAATTAAGTACCTATTTTTTTTACATAATTTGAATGAGAATCATGTACCGAATATTCTCCTTAAATATTGATAGTAATTCACCAGTCACCCTGTATATAGAGGAGGGGGGAGAGGCAAGTAAGGGGGAGGAGGAGGGAGGGGTGAGCCGTGAGGCACTCACGGGTGGGTCCGTGGCGCGTGTGTATCAGGTCGGCGGACAGCAGCGTGCCGGCCGGCGTCTGCAGCAGCACGACGCGCGTGTCCTCCCTTGACATGAGCAGGCGGAGCCAGTCCTCGCCGGAGCGCGCCCACAGCCGCACGGACGAGCTGCTGTACAGGTCCAGCACCTGGCGGCCCGTGGCGACCTGCAGCAGCCCGCGCAGAGCCTCCGCCGCGCGCTCCAGGAGGACGCAGTCCCGCGCGTACAGCAGCAGGATCACGCCCTCACCCGGACACACCTTCACCGGCGACGACCCACTGCTGGAACTGGAGATGGACAGTTATAAGTACATGGATTGAACACACACCCGCTTAGGTGGACAGTCGACAGTTTTGTTATAGTGTAGGTTGTGGTTGGTGACGTACTCGGCCAGCCAGCGGTCCCGCACGCGTCTCTTCCAGGCGGCCACGAGTCTCTTCCTCAGCGTCCACAGCAGCAGCCCCGCCAGCAGCAGCACGCCGGCCAGCGAGCACAGCACGCGCCACCACTCGCGCCACCCCCACCACCGGTCGGACGGCACCACCGGCACCACGCCCGGGGAGTGACCTGCGGGGACACACCGTCACAGTACATACATATAGCTGTAGCGTGTTAAACGAGCCTGCGGGCGGCGGACACTCACAGAACACGTATTCGATATTGGCGAGGTGGCCGAAGACGGAGGGCGCGGCGATCCAGGGCGCGCGGTGAGTGAGGTGCGCGGTGTAGCAGCGGGCGGCCAGCTGCGCCACGCACTTCACCTCGCTCAGCAGGGACCCGCCCGCCGAGCACTGCAGCTCCAACGGTGACGACTACACATACATATTAACTTATATGGGAGACTGCATCCTTAAGTTTGCAACACTTAATATTTCACAAAATATGAATTATTATAACAGAATAGTTCACATATAATGTGAAAAGACAAAAACCAACTGAGAAATATTATAAAGCTAATGTTTCCAATCTTCTTATTGTAAAGTACATATGAAGAGTGGTGTTGTGTATATGGTAGTTGTTATGTTTACCTCGGTGTCCTTGTCCCAGATGTACACAGAGTAGTCGGTGGCGGGGATGAAGCCCAGGTACCAATTGAGCTCCACGCCACTTCTGTACAACAACATACTCTACATTCAATATCTTCTGTACCATACTAACACATAAATGTTGGCAGCACGTACTATTTTAATTCCGAAAGCCAAATACCAAAGGGTATATGTTTGTATAAATTTTAAACATCATTTCTAAACTTAAAGAGGCCTCAGTAACTCTTTATAACATCAGTGATTTAAAAAATCCAAGATTCTCATACTTGAAATTCTTCCAGCCATTTCAGACGCTAACCAGAACAGATAGACAACAATTAAAGTAAAAAAAATAAAAATGTTTTGATGTGTGTAATATGTAGGCAGATATTATTGCACGAGTTACCGAGGTGCGAGACTTAGGTATTTACATTGACAGCAAACTAACTTTTAAGTCCCACATTAATTAAATTACAGCTAAAGCTTTCCGAATGCTTGGATTTGTTTTAAGAGTAGGTAGGGATTTTAAAAACGCAAATACATTAATATGTACTATTATATAATTCGTTTGTTAGATCGATCCTCGAACATTGTTCAACTGCTTGGAATTCATTTTTTAAATGCCATATTATGCAATTAGAGAAAATTCAACGCAAATTTATTAAACATTCTAGTTATAAGTTTTTGCCGCATAATCAGGATACTTCACACATTCCATCTTTAGAATACCGTCGCATGGAGAGAGATCAATTGTTTTTATTTAAGATACTTAGAAATTCTGTAGATTCACCCTATCTGTTACAAAATATATGCTTTAGATGTCCTAAAATTAATACACGTCATCAGTCCCTTTTTTATTTACCTATCACAAATACCAAATATGCTCAAAATACTTTTATTTTCCGTGCCTGTGAAAAATATAATAAATGTTTTTCAAATATAGATTTAACAATGTGCACTAAAAATAATATAAGGAAAGAAATCCGTAAAGCCTATAAATCGTAATTAATTTATTTTAAAATTATTATTATTATTGTTTTATTAATTTATTTATCTCATGCTTTTTTTGTTAATAATTTTGTCAACTCTCATTGATCATGTTATTATTTTGCTCCAAATGAAATTGTAATCGGTGGAAGCTTTTTGGTTTGTGTATTTTTGTATTGTACTTTGATTGATTGTTTAATACTGTTTGTTTCCCAAAAAAATAAAATAAAAAATAAAAATAATAAGCATCTGGTAAAAATAGTTATTTTAATATAACAAACACAGTCCCATTTAATTCATTAAAAGCTATGTTGGGAAAAGCTTAGATTCATCAAGCAGACATCCCTAGACCCCATATTATTACTTACAATATTACAAATTGACATCAATCACACAGGTCTAATAATGAATAAAAAAATGGTTGGTCTCACAGTACACCAGGTCAGTGGTAATTAAACTGAATTCTAAAAACAATACGAGTTGTAAGACATTCGTCATTTATAGAAAATCAATTGACTGATTATGACAATTTATCAACACAGTTAGATATTTTATATGAAGAGTGGACCTTCAGTGTTCCAAAGAGACTTCAAATATGTTTAGTTCAAATAGATACAAATATGTATTATGATTCAGTTGTATATTGAGTGATAAATAATGTGGAGCAGATTGTAACGGAAACACAACCTATCATACTATATATAGTAACAGAGTGTGGGAGGTGTTAGCCTCTAATGCATGATGATCGTCAGACACAAACATGTTACAATACATAGCAGAAAAGTCTACTCAATGTTGATGGGAATCTAGGAATATATATTACAGACTTTGATAACAGAACACTTACATTTGCTGTAAAATTTTCTTGTTAAAAATTAAAGAATATCAACAGAAGTAGATCTATTAAACATAATTATGATATATTCATGTATTACTGTCATAGTTTTACGTTACATGTTGGTATATCAATGAAACGATCACTACATATCGTTGATTAGTTGCCCTATTCACCTCTTTCACATAGTATTTGAGTTCAGTATTAATATTATATATGAGAGTAAACATCTATGACACTTAATAGTAATCTTCTAATGAAGAGTTTTTATTGTATAGATATGTGGTTTTAGTTGTTGGTACATTATCAAAGTATACTCACTCATAACTCTGTACAGACACTACAGCCTTACTGCCTGTGAAGTGTTGTTTAGTGTAGTCATTGATGACATAGTGCAGGGAGTCACCAGAGCCGCTGATGCCTGTGTTGCTTCTTAAGAGTGTTCTCAAGTGGTAGCAGGTACCATTGAATATTAAATCCAAATAGGTTGAAAGACAGACCTGAAATTATGTATCAGTTTTATTACTTGTTTATGTATCGGTTAAAAAATGTAAAACTAAATTGTTTGTTTAGCTTATTCAATCAATACAGATAGTCGGACACATAACAACATACAGTTGTAATACTTTTAATAGTAAAAAGTGAACTTGGTGCAATATGTTGGTCATAGAACCTAGTACTTGTAAATATATCACTTAGGATAACTGTGCATTCTATGTAGGTGATGCATACATAGATAACAATGATAAGAAGAACAACAAAAATATACATGACTAAACTTACATGACTACAGTTTGAATCAATTGTAACAGGCAATTCCAATCTTGAATGCGACTGTCCTATTGGGAAGCCCACTTTATAGGTTTGACACTTTTTTGGAGCACGAGATTCGATGTAACGTAACACTAACTCCCACTTTGTAACATTATAATCGGCCTTCGTACACCACTCCACCGTGTACCGTCCTTCCACACCATCCTTCGAAGGTTCAAATAACAGGCTCGACTGTGAAGAGTTACTACATCTTTCTTCAACACTGTGATCGGCTTGGGACGCACTTATAAAGAGTAACATTAAAAATATAACTGTCATCTTAATCGATTCAGACTGTTAGATCCGACCATCACGGATTGTATCAGTATCGTAATAACAATTTCGTAAAACCACAAACTGACGGTCACAGGGTTATCGGTGAGAGAAACGATGTGTTTTGACGAAGTTTACACTTAATTAACATATGTGCTTTATTTATTTTACGAGTTAGAGATGTCATGACACTTGATCGAGTGCATCATATTGAGTCGTGACATTTACATAATCAAAACCAGATTTTACATTGGAAGACACTTTTTATACATTACATTTAATAATACGCACTACATACTAAAAAATAGTAGATTGGTAACTGGTTATAGAAAGGATATTTACATTTTGCTTTTTTTGTTTTTGTCTTCAACTCTTCAAGGCAAAGAACCTCAGTCTATACAGCCGAGCCATATAAGTGTTGTTAGTAAAAAATAATCCCTACTGTCAAATTCCTATATTTTATATTTATTTTTATTATAATTTTCTACAGATCCTCTAATCCTTTCAACTTAATTTTAATTAATTTGAGAATATGAAATTAATAATTTCACTTATCAACTTTACACTTCTATCTTAGCCTTCATGACGTATATTTAGTTCTAATATAATCTGTATTTTTGTTTTATTTTTATTTATTCTAAAGTAACATATTTTTTACGATAATTTCATATAAAATAAAACATATAGAATTGGCTTAAAATTAATACCTATAATTTTACTACTTTTTTATTCATGTTAATTTTCTGCAAATGTACCGTTATGCGATACTATGATTTTAGACTCGCTCATCTCACGCATTGGAAATGGATAATGGTGGATATACATTTTTACGTTGTATGCTGGAATGATACTGTGTGAAAATTAAAAAACAACTTTTGTATATAGTATCGATATTTTGTTCGATATAATATATCGTAGTGGTGTATCGCTACATTGCGATATATCGAACAAATATATCGATATTTTAATAATATCGTAAATAATTAATATTATTTAACTAGGCTATAACATTAAATAGGGATCAGGTTAATTATTAATAAAAACACCTTAGGGAGTAGAAACAAATCAACTTTATTTAGAAATCATATAAATCTAAAAATATGAAAAAAAAACTAAGGACCAAATCATATGACCCAAAAGCCAAGTTTATTTTTATTGTTAAAGCATTTTCTTTTATAAGTAAGTACCTGGGCAGCTTTTGTAAAAAGTCGTTCAGATGGAACTGAGCTAGCCACCGTGGTTAAATATTTAAAAGCTACATTGTATAACATTGGGAACTGTATTTTATAATCTGCCCACACTTCTAGCGGGTTTTCGTTAAACCAACTGACTGGAGCCCTCAAATAAAGCGATAGCTCAACTGAAAGACTTTCATCAGTTCTATTTGTTTTCCAGTTCCGCTGGACCATTTTATGGTGATCACTCCAAATATCCGATGATAAACTAATTTTGTCTGAATTGTCAGAGTTAGATTCCACAGTAGATTTAACTTGCTGATTTTTTTAATCATCTCTTTAATTTTATTGAAGGCATTTGCGCACGCCAAAGCATCTTCAAAATGAAGTTTTTAAATCTTGGGTGCAATATTGTAGCAATAGCTAATGATTATACCTTTTCAATAAATCCATTCGTTTATTAATTTCGGTAAGAATTCGTTTTATACGTAATAAGTACGAGAATAAGTAATAAAGTGGAATATAATAATGACGAATAAGTGAAATTAAGTAATTCGTTTTTATTAAAGTAATTAAGTGGATTGATAATTAATCGTTATTTGGTATGTATATCCCATGAAATATATCGATATTACATTTGATACTTAATGATAATATGGGATTGAAGCGATATATCGCGTACATGTATCGATATTTTTTGAAATATCGATTTATATCGCCCACTACTAGTGAATTAATAATAATAATAATAATTTATTTATTAACACCCATGAATAATGTACATAATTTGTCTTTTTTAGCTTAATAACTAAATCTAGGGTTATTACATTGTCATCTTTTGTAGTATACCTCTGACTCTAAAACTAATATAAATTGTGATATTTAAAGTCAGCGAATCATCAACAGTTAATTGCGCACTAGATTTTTAGAACGGAATGATTTTAAAGGTGTTGTAAAAAAAAACAATTGCTCCCATAGATAATACACTACCTATAAATTATAATAGAAATAGATGCGCCACTGTGGGTTTCAGTTTAGAAAACTACTATGAACCGTGTACGCTAGATGTCGCTGCATTTACTGGCTAGGACGTGGTACCACTAGATGGCGCTTAATGTCATTCGAATTTAATAATGAAAATGCCAATTTCAATTTTATTATTAACTTTAATCTTTGGTTGATTACACTGCGTTACAAATGAAAAAAAAATTGAGTACCCGCTTTGAAATGCCATGTTTTCTTATGAATACTTATATTTTATTAAAAATAAATACAAATTTTCCATTCAGCACGTCTCATTTTTCTTCCATTAGAATGTGCCAAATTCTACTAAAAATTTAAATGCTTAATCATATTTTAAAGAAATTTCTTTTATATCAACCAGATTTTTTCACATTAGCTAAGTTTAATTTTATCATTAATTAAAAAAAAACATTATAAAAAGTTTTAACATAAAAGATCGCAAAACTTTAACTTTTTCTTTAGCGACGATCACTTAGTCCAGTATTCATAATGGATTTCCAAAGAAATATATACGAATATATCGACGTTATTGAATAAAAATGACTACTAAACAAAACAAAATAATAAAAAAGTACAACACATCAAAAATGGTAATTATTTCGTTTACGCCTAAAGTGAGGTTTATAGAAAAAATAATTTGGCATGTACCTCGAAAACTAGACGTGATAGATACCACACATGTTTGGAACATTTAATCTGTGACTCATTAGCTATTCATTCCAGCTAACATTTACGTGGGTACCAAAATCGTGTAAAGCAGTGTTATAGGTAATAATAAAATTAAAATAATAATGAATAATGTGCATAGGTTCAAAAATCCAACTTCTGGTGTTTTTGCCTCTATTTATATTATTTACTTAGCATACTTAAAAAAATAAGTAAAATTAAAAGCAGAAGATATATTCAAATATTTATTTTTTTCTTTTTATATTACAATATGTAATTGCTTGGATTTTGACATTATCCTCATTGTTTGGACAATCAGTAAACTTTCCTGTAAGCAGCCTGTTAACATTGGTGCACTAACTATGAATTATAAAATGTATAATTTAATAAAACTCCTTTAAGGTGTTTATGAGTTTCGCAAGAAAGAAAAGAAAAATCACAATATAAATCAGCTTTTTGAATTTTTTTTCTTTTATATTTTTTGTTTGTAGTTCTTCACTTAATTGTGTTTGTATGACACAAACATCATCTTAAAATGATAGCACACCTCCGACGGATACTTACAGGATTTTTAGTGTAATCTCTAAATAAAATATAATTATCATTAGCAGGAGGTGTTGTGCTTAACAACTGCATTTTACATGTGTTACAATTTTTACATACATTTTTAATACATTTATGTACTAAATAGCCAGCCACATAGAGTTTAGCTTCTATGCTGATTATGTCGCTGGGTTTTAAATTGACATTTTCTTGCAACAAATTAAGTAAAGAATCCTCATTTATTTTTTCATTTAATGTATCTCTAACTCTTAATGTCGAATTAATAAGGCAACTTAAAGGTTTTAAAATTTTGTTATTGTCATGTTCACAGTTTGCACCAACGGAAGTTAAATTATTTACAAGTAAAGTTTTGTATGCTCCAACAAATTGAGAGCAAGTTGGAGATACATTACGGATCCCATTACTTCGAATATTACAAAAAAATTCTCTAAGGGATCCTGATTTAAGTTTCTTGTTAAAAGACTGCTTACGCCATGATATTTATTTAAATCAAAAAATAACTCCCTTATGGCATGAATGTCATGTATCCAATTTTTAATAGATGGTATCATAATAAATTTTTTTATACCATTTTTATTTACTTCAAATCTCATTGAGTTTAATACAGGTAATGTTTCATCCCACAGTTTGAAATGTGGAGAATTCGTTTTCAATGCACTCCTATATAATTTAGCATCTTCCTGATAACTATGACCATTGAACGAGTCAAAGAGTTTATCTACAAGAAGCAGCAGGTCAGCTGTGGCGACACACTCTTTTCGCAAAATATGATGATCTGGAAATAAAAAATATATTAAAATTATTTTTAGACATAGGCCTTATCATTAGATGGATAGATAGATAAACTTCTTTATTGCTTGTATGCAATAATAACCTTTTGCTTTTATTAATTCTGAACTTTAGATAGAGTTCAGAATTAATAAAAGCGAAAGACAAGAAAAAACATAAGTATGCAAAGGAGGTCTTATCACTTATAGTGATCTCTTACAGACAACCTCAGGAGTAAAAAGCTGTTATATTAGTAATATGTTAAGTGCATAGAAAGTTTATGTCTATATAATACTAAGTAAAATTTACTACTAATATGAAAAGAATATATACTAACTTAATGAGATCTAAGATTTTCGCGAGTACACATTCGAGTGTGTCGAGATGTGACGAGACATCTCGTCTGCCCGTGATCACGGTTGCTGAAAAGTAGCCGAAACGTCGGGAGTATGTAGTTTCTAAAATAAAACGCGAAGTAAAATCCGAAAATATTAGTTTCATTTATATACTAACTTGCTAAGAACCGCATAGCTGCTGATACTCGCTGGCTGGACACTTGGGCCGCATATTTCACTTTCATTTTCGGTAATTTATCTTTATATATATATGTATGTGTTTCTGTTAATGTATCTAATAAGCGTGTATCACTGTCTCCAACGTCAACCTGTAACAACACATGCAAATGACTCCATTTTGCTATTTTAATTTCTTGATTTTGTTGAAATCTTAAATTTTTTGTCAATAAATTGTTCCTTAAGCCTTTAAGGAGAATCAGTGGGTTAAAAAATGGTA